GTTTTGTTTTTTTTTTTTTTTTTTTTTTTTGAGGACGGGAGTCGTCGCCTGGTCGGCGCCGGCTGGAGTGCCAGGTGGGCGGTCTCAGCTCGCCTGCAAACCTCCGCCTTCCCGGTTGGCTCCTGCCTCAGCTCCGAGGTAGCGGTGACTAGTACAGGCGCCCGCCACCTCGTCCGGCTAGTTTTTGTATTTTTTAGTAGAGACGGGGTTTCACCGTGTTAGCCAGGATGGTCTCGATCTCTTGACCTCGTGATCCGCCCGTCTCGGCCTCCCAAAGTGCTGGGATTACAGGCTTGAGCCACCGCGCCCGGCCAAGAGTGGATTTAAACTCATTTCAATAACTTTCAGAGGACAAGCCAAAAGGAACAACCCCCCAAAATAAATTTAATGTCATAAAACATTATTACTATAACTAGAAAATGACTCATATATATTTTCAAAAGGCTTTTCTTAAGATGGTTGGTTGAAGTGATTACAATGAACACCCTAAAAACAGAATAAGGACATGTGTGGCATGATCCTTCTAGGTCAATGGAAGTTTAAGTCCTTCACCTGTGTGGCAAACTTACCACTCTATTTGGTTCAGCTCAGAAATGTAACCATTTAAACTAAGAGAAAAAGTGGAGAGAATAGGGTAAACCAACTTGAATAAGTTCAATGTATTACCTTGGGTGGCAGGCAGAATTGTAATATGATCCCTGGGATACCAGCCCCTGGATGTATATGCCCTGTATGATTTTTTTCTCCTTGGATATAGGTAGGATTGTAAATATGATAGGGTGTGACTGGCATAATTATGATACATTTTATGGCAAAGGACATTTTGAGATAAAATTAACATCTCTAATCAGTTGATTTTGAGTATATTAAAAGGGAGATTATCCTGGGTAGGCTTGGCCTACTCCGGTGAGTAATTTAAAGAGAGGGATTGGGGCCCTCCCTGGGGTCAGAGAGATTCTCATACTGATCTCTAGAAAGTGAACTGCCTTGTCCTGTGAGTGCCATGTGGCAAGGAGCCGTGAGCACCCTCTAGTAGTTGAACTCAGTCCCTAGGTGTCAGCCAGCAAGAAAATGGGGAATGCAGTCCTCCAACCACAAGGAACTAATTTCTGTCAACAGCCACATAAATTTGGAAGGGCATCCCAAGCTCTAGAAAGACATGCAGGCTGGTAAACACCTTAAACTTTATTAGATCCTGAGAAGAAACTCAAGCTACGTTGTATCTAGACTCACAGAAACTGAGATGTTAAATATGTGTTGCTTTAAACTATTGAATTTGTGGTAATTTATTATGGAGCAACAAAAAAATTAAAATACCCTCCAGGTGCGGTGGCTCACGCCTGTAATCCCAGCACTATGGGAGGCTGAGGGGGGCAGATCACGAAGTCAAGAGATTGAGACCATTTTGGCCAACATGGTGAAACCCCGTCTCTACTAAAAGTACAAAAATTAGCTGGGCATGGTAGCACTCGCCTGTGGTCCCAGCTACTCAGGAGGAGGCTGGAGAATTGCTTGAACCTGGGAGGCGGAGGTTGCAGTGAGCCGAGATAGCGCCACTGCACTCCAGCCTGGTGATACAGTGAGACTCTATCTCAAAAAAAAAAAATGAATATACCTTGTATTTCATTGAATTAGAAAAAGCAAAGGCTATGTTGAGTTAGCCTAGGCTCAGTATTTTATTACTGATATAGCATATGTCTGAGTGTATTTATATATATGTATATACACATACAAACACACATATATATATAAAGCATTGGATAATTTTTTAATGTAAGTTCAATTAAGTTTTCATGTAAGTTGAATAAGAGCGGAAACATCGGCTTTTCCTTAAAAACAAACAAATAAACCCCTGCACTTTAGGAGCTTAAAGCAGTGACTGGAAGCTAAAAGCAAGTTTATTATATGACTCAGCAATCTAAGTATTTATCGAGAGAATACAAACATATGATCACACAAAGATATATTCACAAATATTCATAACACTTTGTTCATAATAGCTTAAAATTGGAAACAATTAAAATATCTTAAAACAGATGAATAGAGAACTTCATAGGATGGGAGTACTCAGCAACAGAGAGAAATGAGCTCCCAAAATGCAAAACTATGGATTAATTTCAGAAATATTATGCTTGGAAAGAGAAATATAGAAAAAAGCCATGTATGAAATAACACCACCTGAATAATTTTATTTCTATGAAATTCTAGAATAGACTAGACTAACATGTAAGAGAATGTAAATCAATGATTGCTTGGAGCAGAGGGTGGGTGTGAAAAGTATTTTAGAAATGTGTTGTCTCTTGATTGTGGTGGTTGTTACACAAGTTTATACATCTGACAAAATTCATTGAACTACACACTAAAAATGAGTTTATTTTAGTGAATGTAACATATACCTCAAAAAAGCTGATTAACAAAACAGTAGCTGGTATATAGTGAAACACTCAATAAATACGTGTGAATGAGCAAAACTTGACTTAAAGTCAATTTTATTATTTAAATAATTTGATAATGTATTTTAACAAATGTATTTTTCACAGTAGCCCATATGGATCTCTATATAAATAGAAAGCCACAGAATATACATTACCAATTTGAAAATGTAAAATGAATATCCTAAATTATTTATCTCACATATCTTTAACAATAGGCTATCTGCAAGAGTTAACTTGGGGTGTTTTCCATTTTTAATGCAACCCAGTGTTATTTTTTTCCACATCTTGATGATTTTAATGAACTTTGGTCATTATAGTCTTGTTGAAAAGATTTACCACAAAATGATTAACAATACAGTTTAGAGAGTCATGAAGACATGAAGAATCATAATGGTTACATTTTGATACTGGAGTTAATGTATTCTGAGTTACAGGGAAAATAATGACTTAAGTTAAGTGGCTTGAAAAAATTTTTGTCCCATTATTCCTTAGGAAATAAGACTTTCATGTCTTTAGATACATAAGGATAAAGTGATTCTTTAAGTAGTCATGAATTTAAGTTGCCAGATTCTTAAAAGTAAATCACAACATTAAGAAAGTTAATATTTACATAGAATTGTAGATTCTAAATAAATATATTAGGCTATCTTACAGGAAATTTGGCAATGCATATCAAAATGCAGAGGAATATAATTCAGACCTCGAACTATTATTATTCTCTTTGTTTTGCTTTCAGATATTACATTAGATTGTCTTCTTCTTTATGCAAATCTACAATAAAGTAGGATCAATTAAAAGCTGTAATTCTACATTGAAAGCAGTAATTGTATTAACTAGTAAATGATTAAAAAATAAATCCAAAATTGTATTTCTATCAATTCATAGCTCTTCAAAGATCTTTCAAGATCCTCTGGCATATCCTTAAAGAATGCTTCATGGGAAAAAGTGTTTGTATAATTATCTACTTTATTGTGCTCAAACCTCTCAGCATCTTTTTTTTTTTTTTTTTTTTTGTGAGCAGGTGATGGATTCTTTGCTGTGCAGCTGGAATATCACAGTATATAATATGGACCTGATAAAAAATGAAGATTAGATAATTTTATTGACAGAAACTTTAAACCCTGCACTTGCCTCTATTTAACTGTTCTATTCCACCATTAGAGGTTTTCGGACAACGGTTAAATGCTCAATAGGCTGGTAAGTTATGAGAAGGATTTGAGAATCAGGGGCCATCGGATTAAATGCCGTTTAAAGTTCATTGTGGCTGGAGATGCTATGATTCTGCAGATTCTGATTTCAGAATGCGTTTTTAATCTTCCCAACTCAATGTGCATATAAAACTGACTAATTATATTTCATATTTACATAGCACTTAAATACTGGCTTATAAATTTTTAAATAAATCCAAGCAGGTGAGCTAAGACTGTTTGTTTAATGCTCCACCCTGGTTTACGCACCTCTTGGTGCTATAGAAACAACAAGCTTTTTGTACTCACCCCATGGAACTTCAGGGAAGTGCTGTGTTTTTTTCTGATTCAGTTATGCATTGTTATAACACAATTTTTATTTCCATGACTTTTTTTGTAGCAAAATATGTACATTTTGTAAATAGTGGATGTCTTTTCTAAAATTTCATTTTTCTTTCTTGTAAGCTGTAAAAAATTTGTATTGTATATTTTAACTTCCTTGCATTTTCTCTTATTACACAGTGAATAATTTTTGCAAATACATACAGACATATTGTTTTAATAAATAATTCAATAATTTTAAGATACGCCTATTATTGACATTTTCTAAATAAGTATCATTTTGTCTATGGCTGTCCTCCAGGCCCCAATCATTTAAATTATTCAGGCTCCAGAACTCACCACTCCTGTACTTAGGTAATTAGAGTTATAAATACTAACTCTGAGAATAAACTTGACCATTAACTTGGCATTAACATGACCAACTTTAAAAGTATTGACAGAAAAATAAAGAAGAGAAAAGAGGGGGCTAAAAATGCATAAAAATTGAAATAGAATCATGACATTTAACTGTTTATTAAGTATTTATTATTCACGGTAACAACAGGATACTATATAAATACTTTATATGTAAAGTTGATAACAGCCATCATAATTACAGTATCTGTTTTTAACAGGCTTTCAATATTTAAGATACCAATCCATCAACAGTCTCTTGTCTTTAGTATCTGAAAGATAATAGCTCCTTTAATTAAAGGCTAAAGAGGAACATGCAATGCAATCCACACAAAAATCAAACCTATGATTATCTCAATGTTTTAATTAACTGCACTGTAAGCATAAACCACAGTCTTAATGATGGTGAAGAACACAGAAAAAAAGTCTGTATTACAATTATTTTGCCTGTGACCCTGCTATGGATCATTCCTTCCAATAAACACATTATTGTATTAACAATGCTTTCCTCCTTCCTCCTATAAAAGATAAGAACGTTTATTCTTGATTATTTTTCTTGCTATAAATTGAATTTGAATTTGTGAAGGCAAATGTGGGCTGTCTGCATATCAGTTAAGTGTTTTCTTACAACACCTGTCTACTCTGGAGAGAGAGGATGAAATCAGAGGTACTGAAAATACATGAGATGGAAAGTTCAGGAACCCTAGTTCACAGGTGAGGAAACCTAGTTCATCACTCACCAGCTACATGACTGTGGGTGATGTCACGTAAGCTCATTGCTTTTCCCTGAATAGAATAAGAGGATTAGACCCCATGAGCATCTTGCAAAGTGAACCCCAAAGGGCTTGGTTTCCTAATGAATTTTCAAGCATTTGTCCTTTTGATACCTCCAATTACTCTATCTAAAGCATCAACAAAGCAACTCTGTTTTTTATCATTATTATTTTTTTCAATATGTTTTACCTTTGCAGTTTTAGGGATAAGATTTTCTTAGAAGAAAGAAGCCTCTAATTTATAAAAAGGTTTTGAAAACCACTGGTCCGAGATAGCAGCAGCACTGTTTCTAGTTCACTAATTCTCTGTTCTGGTTTATTCCGATTTGGTGAGCCATTTGCCCCAGCACACTGGATCCAGGAAATTAAAAAGAAAATGTATAAAACACCTTCCCTCTCATCTCCTTAATCACCAAAGTTTCATATGGAAAATATCACCAATATTTACTGTGCTAACTAAAATTTGCAGCAGTGGATTGTTTCTTGAGGACCATTCAATCTCCTAGGTTCACTTTCACTTTGTAAGATATCTTTAATAGCACTTTCTTATTTGGATAAAGCCTATTTCACTTCTTCCAGTGTGACAGAGGACCCTGCTATATGTTGTTCTAACAGAATATTCTTTCTTTCCTCCACTGGGCTGATAGCCTGGAGAAAAAGAATACAAGTTTAGTTTTAATTTCTGGATAATAATGTTTTGGTCTTCTAATCTATGAAGTAGAGCAAACAGTATTATCCTATCATATGATAAAAAGCACCACTAAAATGGACTTATGGAAAGCTAAGTATGTAAAAATATCAAATACTTAAATTCTGATACGTGTTTTGAAAATATATATATTTTTAAACTGCTCCAGAAATGTTGGGGTAAATCGTATGAAACTTTAAATTGAAGAGTTTGTTTCTGTTGTCATTTAATTCTTTCAAGTAACTGAGTGCTTATCTGAGGGAAGGAGAAAACCTTTAAGAGTTACTTTACAAAACACAATAGATGCTTTTAAAGGGTAATTGGAAGCATGTTTCACAATTTCTACCTGCACTCTAAATAAGCAAAAGGCAAAACGAGGTAAATACAAAAGGAACATTTTATTAACTACAATGTCCCTAAGGAATAGTTAACATTAACTTAATAAATAATTGTGGAATGAATAGATGGGTAAGCATCTGCTTTAGTCTGTTTTGTGCTGCTATAACAGAATACTTGAGAGTGGGTAATTTATAATGAAGAGAAATTTATTTTCTGAAGGCTGGCAAGTTCAAGATTGAGGTGCTGGCATCTGGAGCGAGCCTTCTTGCTTCATCTTTCCATGGCAGAAGGCAGGGGGGCAAAGGAGAAAGTCCAACTCCTGACAACACTTTCATTAAGGCATTAAACCTACCTATTGGGCTGGAGTCCTCATGGCTTAGTGACTTCTTACAAGCCACACCTCTTAGTACTGTTACAATGGCAATCAAATCTCAACATCAGTTTTGGAGGGGAAAAACATTCAAACCATAGCATTCTGTGCTTGGCCCCCCAAAAACTCATGTCCTTCTCACATACAAGATAGATTAATTTCATCCCTAAATGTCTTAACTCATTCCAGCACCAACTCATTGTCCAGAGTCTCAGCTAAATGAGACATGAGTGAGACTCAAGGCATAATTTATCCTGAAGCAAATCCCCTTCAGCTGTGAACCTGTAAATTAAGTAAGTTATATGCTTCCAAAATACAGTGGTGGGATGGGCATAGGATAGACATTCTCATAGGCAAGAAGGAAGAAGTAACAAACAGATCCCAAGTAAGTCTAAAACCAAACAGGGCAAACAACATGAAACAGGTTGCTTGATAGAGTTAAGGCTCCAGAATAATCTTTCATGACTCTCTGTCTCACCTCCTGGACACACTGTGGAAGGGGCTGAGCCTTTGGGGTCCTGGGGAGCCCCGCTCCCGTGGCTTTGCTGACTACAGCCCACATAGCTGCTTTTGTATATTGGAGTAGAATGCCTGTGGCTTTCCCAGGTTGGCTTTGCACTCTGGTAGCTCCATCGTTCTGGGATTTGGAGCTGGCTCCACTGGGCACTGCCTCAGTGGAGACTCTTTGGAATGACTCCACTACTGCTGTAGTTTTTTGTCTGGGCCTCCAGCCTATTTAGTATGTACTTTAAAATCTAGTTGGAGGTAGCCATGCTTCTACAGCTCTTGTACTGTGCACCTGAAAATTAGCACCAGGTGGACGCTGCCAAGATTTACAGCTTATACATTCTGGAGTAGCAGGTGAAGCCACATCTGGGTCTACTTGAGCCATAACTGGAGTGGTCAAGGCAGCAAGGCCTGAGGCCCCATTGGCTCCCCATGATTATCCCCTGAAGCCATTCTACCCTCAAGGCTCTAGAACTCTAAGCTTGAGATAGGAAGGACAGCCTAAAATATCTCTGAAATGCCTTCAGAATCTTTCTTCTATTCATACTAATCTCATCAAAGAGTTACTTGGCCTTTGAATACCCTTTGTATTCTCTCCCAAACATATTTTTATTCTTTACATGGCCAGGCTGGGGATGCTTCAATTTTTTTTTTTTATATCTGATTCCTATTTATTTATTTATTTATTTATTTGAGACAGGGTCTCACTTGAGTGCAGTGGCATGAATATGGCTCACTGCAGCTTAGACTACCTGGGCTCAAGCAATCCTCCCTTCTCAGTCTCCTGAGTAGCTGCGACCACAGGTGTACACCATCACACCTGGATAATTTTTGTTGCATTTTGTTTTGTTTTTGAGTAGAGACAGGGTTTTTCCATGATGCCCAGGCTGGTCTTGAACTCATGCGCTCAAGCAATTCTTCTGCCACAGCCTCCCAAAGTGTTGGTAGTACAGCCATGAGCCACTGCACCCAGCCTGCTTCCCTTTTAATTATGAATTCTGTCTTTCAATGATTTCTCTCTTATTGAATTTTGCAATATGCTGTTGGAAGATATTGTGCAGCTCCATCAATGCTTTGCAACTGATAGATTTCTTCAGCCAGATATCCTAGTACATGGCTCATAAATTCTGCCACTCGAACAGGGACATAATTCAGCCAAGTTCTTTGCCACTTTATAATAAGGATATTCTTTCTCCAGTTCGCAATACCTTGTTCCTCATTTCCATCTGAGACCTCATCAGAATTACCTTTACTGTCTGTATTTCTATCAACATTCTGGTCATGATCACTAAGTAGAGCTGTCCCTCAGTATCTATAAAGAATTGGTTCCAAGACCCCCAGTTGATACCAAAATTCATGAGTGCTCAAGTTTCTTATGTAAAATGTCATAGTATTTGCATATAATCTATGCACATCCTTTCATATGCATACTTTAAATCATCTCTAGATTACTTATACTACCTAATACAAAGC